AGCTTAAGGTGGGACTAGAACTCCCTGTCTCCTGGTGATTGGCTCAAGGTCACCCAGGCAGCTTTCGTGCCTAAGGTGGCACTAGAACTCCCAATCTCCTAGTGATTGATCCAAAGTCGCCAGCCAGCTTTCATACCTAGGATAGGACTAGAATTAATCACCTCCTGGTGATTAGCCCAAAGTCACCCAGCTGACTTTCATGTCTAAGGTGGAACTAGAACTCCCTTTAGCCTAGTTTTCCCCTCCCTCCCCTCTCTCTCTCTCCCTCCTTCCCCTCCCTCCCCTCCCCTCTCACCTGCCTTTGTGGGACCGCTGAGACTGACACCCCCTTCTCCCCTTGGCATCTCCAGACAGATGCCGGGACGAGTGCCGTTTCAACGCCGTGTGCCTGATCCGCCGGGGCCTCGCCCGCTGCTCCTGCGAACGGATCATCTGCGATGGCGCCTACCAGCCTCTCTGCGGCAGGGACAGCCGGACCTACTTCAATGACTGTGAGCGCCAGAAGGCGGAGTGCCAGCAGAAGGCTGCCATTCCAGTCAAGCACCATGGACCTTGTGGTAAGTGAGGCCAGACGGGCCCCCCAAACTCACCCATTTCTCTGCCTTTGCCCAGTGGGCGCAGCCGTAAGAGGTAAGTCTGACCCTTCAGGATGAAATGCAGCCCCTCTTGCTCTCTTCCTTCCTTCGTTCCCTGCTCTCCTCCTGTGGCCTCTGTCTCTGTTTGTCGTCCTTTTGTCCTTACGGGGAATTTCGGATAAGAGTGTTCAGTCCTGTCCATCCTCCATCTTTTCATCTCTTTTTCTCTCGTTCCTGTCTTACCTGCTTGCTGATTCCTTTCTCGGCTTGGGCCTCACACGCTCCCTCCGGCACCATCAAGGTCCTTAACACGCCTTTCCATTCTCCAAACCTTTCTTAGTTTGCAGGGATCAACCAGTGGTGGAATTCAAAATATTTGACTGCAGGTTTTGTGGCGCGCGGGGGCGGAGAGTTCTAAAACGGGCAATTTTAAGCACGAAAACTTAACCGTCAGCGCTGGTGAGTAAAACAGCTGAGCTGCAGTGATCTGCTCTGCCTTGCCTATCAGCTGAGCTACGAACAAAGGAAATATAGGATAGGAAAAGGGCAGAGGCGGGTGGGGAACTGCTGACCGGCGCTATGAGATCACTAGAACCAGTGCGAACCGGCAGGATACCACTGCTGGGCTGAACCTCAGTGGCATTTTTTCTTCCTGGGCTTCAGTCTGTGGAGGTCAGAAGTGGAGGCACGCAAAGAAGGTTGCGCTTCCCTTGAAGAGCTCAGAACAGGCAGCTCGTTCTCCCAAACACAGGAAGGATACAAAGAGGATATCCAGGTGGTTCAATTTGTCCTGTTTATTTTATGCCACTTTCCCGTTCACTTTTGCCCCCTTCCTTCCTTCCTTCCTTCCTTCCTTCCTTCCTTCCTTCCTTCCT